TAAATGGGTAGAAACTAGAAATGGATTTCCAGTCTAAAGTTTTGGAATTAGAAGGTATCTTGCCATCAAAAGCAAAGATGTTCAGACGCACATAGGAACGGGGAGGATGGAGGTTGGGGGAGGACATGCAAAAACTCTTTCCACTTTAAGTTGAAGCTTGATCAGTTGATAAAAGGAGTTTCAGATGTGCTTGCCTGCAGTAGCAGGGGACTCTATTTGGTGATTCACTCAGTCCCTTCCACTTAACATGCATGTGTATTTTTATTATTATTATTATTATTATTATTATTATTGATAAGACACTACTGAACTGCCTTTTCTCTTTTATAAAATAGCAATCATCAATCCCCCTTACTCCTAAAAGCATTCGTTCTACACATAACGAGGCCTTTTTCAAAACACCTGGCAGCCTTGGAGACCCTGTGGCATGGAAAAAAACTGAAGGCAACCAGACCAGAAATTCCAGCTCTGTTCAGAGAAGACTAGAAATTGATAGTAATGGCACTGACTAACCCAGCTTGCAGTAAAGTGTGGGCAGATTGTAATAGGACTTCATGCTTGTTACAAAAGCTATTGCATGGCAAATAGCTATTACAGCTATAACATAACAAAAGGTGCATGGTAAAATGTTGTCCCTATTGGCATGCTTCCCTGCTATGTGGTTGCCCACTAGGTCTGCTAACTTTCTTCTTCATGAGCCATCACTACTGCTGAAATACGTTTATTAATGGTTTATTTAAACACCAATTTGGATTCAAACTTTGTGCTTGGCACAGCAATGTGAGCATTAAATTACTGTTGTGATTTTAATTTAAAAATATACTGTTATTGCTGTGGGGAGATGCAAACAGAGACCTACTGGAGTCTCATGGCTTTGTATTTTTTCAGGTGAGCTGTCTAGCACTTACGTAGGGTGAACATTTTTTACATGTATTCTACTTACCCTGAGTAAATCTGTGGTGGAAAGACATAATCTCCTGCAGTTGCAAAACCAGCTGCTTCCTTGCTTCCAGTCTGTCAAGTTCTGCCTCAGCAATGCAACATCTTGTTATTTATTCTCTACATTGGAATGGGATTTCATGCAAAAAGATTTTTTGTTTTGTATTTTCCAGTTTCAGAACAGATTTCCTCAGGGTATGACTACTTGAATGTTGATTGGTTGTTGTACAATTTGCCCAGCACTTGTTTTACAAAAGCCTAGTAATTTAATAATACAATATGGTTGAATGTATACATGTGAAAAAAGATTAAGACCAAAATAACTGTGAATTTTAACATTTTTGTTGTTGTGTTTAATTAACTGTATTAGTCCTTTTTTGTGTGTGTCCTTTTCTGAGCAGACAGTACAAGCAAATGGACATAAAGAACCCAAAAGCCAGTTCCTAAACAAATCTGATAAATTCAGTTGGGAATGGCGAGCCTCTAAAAGGTGTGAGTGAACCTGTCATCTCCCATAACATGTGCCTTGGACTCTAAAGACAAGTAATATGGGTGAGCAGTTACTCACACGGCTAGACTTGTGTCTAGTGCATAATTGTTCATTTACAACAGGCCTGTCCAACCTCTAAGTGGCCGAGAGATGCGTGCTTCATGGTGTGCACCAGCAGGAGAGGCTTGGGAGGGGAGCCCAGAGCCAATGGCTGCAGTAGGAGCCATAGAAATGTTAGGGGAGTAGTGACTGGGTGAGAACCTAGGGGTGGCAACTTCAACTTCTTTTGGGCCTCATGCCCCTAGTTGGGCAGCCCTGATCTATGGAAAATTGGTAGCTGTTACTCAGTTTGCAACTGGTTATTTTTAATATGGCTTGAGATGGACAGGGTGGGAAGAGCCATGACCAGTACACTTAGTACACAGGAAGATCATGAAAGGTATTGCATTTTGGCACATACCTGGGTAAATTTTGGAAAAAGGTTGTCAAAGACTGGGAGTTGTACATTTTTCATGGGGAAACAGTTGCTATCCCTCATGAGAAGGGAAGTAAGAAAAACAGGGCATGTCACATTTAGCAGTCTGAGTCCCCAGACATTGAGTGGTCAGTGCTTGAGGAAAATACAGAATAATGTAATGGTTAGTACCGACTTTGGATGTGTTTTCTCTAACAGAATAGCCTGTAATTACAAGTATGCATTCTCCTTTTATTTAATATTGTCATCATGTTACTTTGGGTTTTTAGCAAACATATGGATAGCCATATCAGCTCTTCTTTCACGTGATGAGAACTTTATGGACACCTATACACATGCCTGACTCCTGCTCCGATGCGCTCCAATTAGAACATGTCAGAGCAAACTTGATTAATTGAGTCAGCTGGAACATGCTAATTAGTGTGCTCCAGCAGCCTCAGCATTACATGTATTCAGTGTCCCCACGTTTCAAAATGGCAGCATGGGGCATTGTAACTAAAGATCATTGAACAGACTTTAGTTAAAGTGCCCTCACTGCCATTTTTAAGTGCAGGATGCTGAATACACCAAACACTGCAGGCATTTTAATTTGAGTGGCTCCCAAGAGATGCTCTAATTAAAATGCCCTCCGCCCCCACCCATCCTGGAGCACATATAAAAACGCCCTATGTGTTTACTGGTATTTCTCTCTGAGAATAGATGTATGGTCTGATGTGCTACTTCCCTGGTCTTGGGAGAAAAAGATGCTTTTGTATTTTTGTAATGAAATATGTTATAAAAATGAAATTTAAGAATGAACTTTAGTGGAGGTGGAAGTTGGAGTGTGGTGGCCTTATGTTAGAAGTAGGTAAAGTAACAGCCTTATGAGGGATTGTTATCTCTCTTTTTAAAAAAAGAAACTTATAGTAGAATTTTAATAGGAAACTTCAAATGTGGGGAATGGAACCCTTACCACTGCTAAATTTTTAAGTGTCTTTTTTTTTTTTTACACTACAATTTGCAAGTTTACAGTGATTGTATCAGAATCATTTTTTCTTTATACACCCACTCATAAATTGCTTTCCAAAGGGAAATTAAGTCTCTAATTAGTGGCAGCACATGGTGAAGCTGCTGATGCTGCTACTCTTCCTCTGCTAGTACAAATCAGTATGTGAGCTGGTCTGAAATGGAACCAGATTAGGTGATGAGTGTATTGTAGACTCTCCTTTTTCATAAACCACATGCAGCATGTTAGTGGAATGTCAGTTTATAGAGGGGAGGAGGAGAAGATCACCTAAAATACTGAAACTTGTTTTGCTCCACAGCTAAAACATCATTGCACAAATCACATCACTTTGTCAGTCTGGGTATTATGTCTGTGGCTGGCCTCGCTGTACTTGAAAATCCAGGGACTGAAAATAAATCTTCCATTTCCAATTTCCACTTCCACATGTTGCCTTTCCCTTAAAGCCTACTGAGCCTGATTCTGATCTTGGGCACACTCATGTAAATCAGGAGTAACTCCACCACCAAAGCCTGTAGAGGTTGACCAGTGCTAATGAGAGTAAAATCAGGCCAATTTAGAAGTTACTGAGTAGGCAAAGGTTGACACTGTGGCTGAAGAACCATCCCATTTACATCAATGACCAAACTCTAACTGAGGTAAATGGAAGAAGGAATGGGACCTGCTGCATTTTAAACAATCTGTCAAACCAGTGTTGCTTGCAGTATTTAAGCTGCTGAACTAGATTTAGGGTACTTTGGATAGACAAGGGGAAAAGGCAGTCTACACTTCTTATCACAGTGTTCATTAGACAGACAACCCTTGCTTAGGAACAGCAGGATTTGTGTGTGCACCAAGGAAAGTGCACATGCTCAATGATATGCAGGGTTTGAGAGACATTTATGTTCTGATACATGTTGGGAGGTGTGTGTATAACCTATATACTTGAATCTACCTACCACGTTTACATTTCTCAATTTCTTTTGTAAATGGTGCTATTTCTATATTTAAAAAGCTCTATTTTTAATGTAAAGCTGCTTCCTGTTTGTATCATTGCACTGCTAGTTTTATATAGGTATTAATTTTATTGCTGAGTGTATATGTTCCTCACTGGTTAGACATGACTTTCTCCTTTCCTTCTATGTAGCCATGTTCATTGTAGCTGCCTTCATATAATTTTACTACATGCTCACTGTTGTTGGGTTTAATTTTTTAAATAATATCTTTTAGACAAACATTAAACTTTTACAAAAAAATAATAAAACAAAAACAAAACAAAATGTGTAGGGTGTGCTTATTTTTATGTCTCTAAAGCAGATCCAGGCTGCCCATCGCTATAGTTGGTGAACACCTACTACCAAAACAGAGATTCCTAGAGTCCTTCATAGGGGTTTCCAGGTGCAGGACCTTCTCACCACCCTGATTTGAGTACCTGCCTTGGCCATTGCATGCTGTGTAAGAGCTAGAAGGTTGGAGAGGGGCCCCATCATCCTGTATCTAACTAAGGGAGAACTCCAGTGGTGCAGAAACTTGACTAGACAAGTTGTCCTGCTCCCTGAAAGATCCACCCATAAAGCAAGGCAGAATGGGAGTAAGGCACTAATGTGCTACAGATTCTGAGCTCTACTGTCTGCCAGAGCCCTATCTGCCAAGCTGATAGGGAAAATGAGATGCAGCCTGAGGTCAGCATCAGGATAGTCAACCAGGGACAGGCTCAGTAACGATGAGGGTTTATCTGAAGGGGGGAGGGGGGCAAATTGCAGCACACATGCCCCAAGTAACACAATCCACCTCTGTGCTAGTAAGATTAGGGAGGGGATAGGCCGCCCTGTGGCACATGGGGTAGGGAGCAGAAATCGGCATCACATCAGTCAAAGAGCACAGGGCACAAAGCAGAGCAGCAGCTTGGGCACAGAGTACAAAGCTGAACAACAGTGGGTAGGAGAAAGGGATTGGAGTGGCACTTGGGGAGAGAATAAGGCTAATTTGTGGTATGTCTGCCAAAAGTTGGCCCCCACGGGTCTAAATAATGCTGGTAGATGCTTTAGCCTCCAGAATCAGCCAAGTAAAGCAGCCCATGTGATAAGAGGTAGGGGGGCCACGTACTGCTACTGCAGCCTACACAGTGTGTGTTGGGGGCCAAGTACAGCTGGTGCAGCTCATACAGTGAGGGAAATCCAGGGGTGGATCCACCATTTGGCAAAAAGGTGTGCAAAAGCAGCTACCTGTGTTGTGGGGATGGCTGCATCCCTGCTCCCAGCCTCCTCACTTACAGCTCACCAGTGTGCACAGACTGAGCCCCTGGACTTCTTTTAAAGCCCCCACAACAGGTAAGTATCCCCCCTTCCCCTCCGTTCTCAAAAGCACATCCCCACCTCCCTTCTGATTCTCCTGTCCCAAATGTGTGCATGTGGGGGGGAGGGGGGCTTCAAAGCTGCTCTTGCCAGACTGCCTGGGGCTGGGCTGGGCTCAGCCTCAGCAGTAGCAGTAGCAGTGTTGATTGGCGGGGTGGGGGGAGGTTCCCAACCCATTCCCAGTTCCCTAGAAGCAGGTTCATGGAGTGGGAAGTCACCCCCACGCCCATCACCGCTCCCCCTGTCACTGTTCCCAAGTAAGCCAAGCCCTCATGCAGTCTGGCTGGAGTGGGCAGCAGCAACTTCAAAGCTTCCCCCACCATAGGGACAGCAGGAAAAGCAGCAGCCACAGAGGAAAGGGAGGGGAAAGGATGCATCTCTAAGCATGGAGGAGAAGGGAGGTTTCTCTTTTATTTTGGGGACTTTCAAAGTCCCCAGAGGCTCCACCAGCATGGTCCAGTTTGAAAGTGCACCTGTGTACCTGCCTCTGGATCCACCCCTGGGAATCCCAAGAAAAGGAAACTGCTCCTGGAACCTGCATGATGCATGGCCTGGGGCTGGATGTAGGCACCACATGCACCCTCTCAGCTATACTCAAGTTATACAGCCCTCTTCTACATTGCAGCCGTACAAACTCAGGCTTGGAACTTGTGCTGTCACTTCAGAGAGTTTTCCTTCACCTTTGTACCTGTTGGACTTACTGCTTCCTCAGGATCAGCACAGCCTCTGGCTGCTGGCCTGTTCTTTCCTTCAGTCCAGTGCAATGAGCAGCACTCCGCAGCTTATAGTATTCTTGTGCTGAGGAACTTCGCATCCAGCCACTTGACACTCCTGCATGGTCTGCAATACATGCACTACCCGAGTAGTATTAAGAGCTAGATCTGTGCCTCAGTCTGCGTTCTGAGTTGAACTGACTTTGTCAAATCTTGTGCATTCCTTCCACTGGCTAAAAAGTTCTGTAATCTATGCCCAAGCACACCCTTCAGCCCACCCCTCAAGGAAGTTGTAGCATAGCAGTCTATAATAGTGGTCCCT